GGCTCCTGTTGCTAGCAACCTTGACAACAATGTAACTTTTTTACACAAAAACTTGAGTACTTAAGGCCCTTGGTTTTAACAGTTGAACTGAGGCTAAAACACAATACTTAGATAGAAACAGTGTGGCCCTCAGCCTCTCTGTCACTGGTGTTTGCTGACATTATTTTCTTACACACGCAATGAATTTGGATATATACATTACTCATCATCAGGTTCTATCATTTCTCTTTGTGACCCAGATCTGTCACGTGTTCACTTACCTGCCTCTACTCACTCACCTGACGATCCTGGTCACCTGTCTGCCCTGTTCACCTGCTATAATCAGCTTTGGACTGTAGCTGTGTTTTAGTTCAGGGGCCGCTGTTCCCGCCTTTATTGTTGCATCACAAAGCGTGGCTCCTGTCGCCTAGCAACCTTGACAACATGTAACTTTTTTACACAAAAACTTGAGGTTTTAAGGCCCTTGGTTTTAACAGTTGAACTGAGCTAAAACACAATACTTAGATGAAACAGTGTGGCCCTCAGCCTCTCTGTCACTGGTGTTTGCTGACATTATTTTCATTACCAGCACGCAATGAATCTTGGGATATATCACATTACTCATCATCAGGTTCTATCATTTCTTCTGTGACCCAGATCTGTCACGTGTTCACTTCATGACGATAAAAGAAACGTGTGTTCAGGTGTTGTTTTACCTGCGATGCAGCCGTGTGACTGCTGGACGTGGTGGAACCACAGAGACGGCAGATACAGCATCTCTCCGGCCTTCACGCTGCAGTGGATCGGCTGAGCTCTCCGGTACTGTGGGTACCGCTCCAGGTCCGGGTCCAGGGGGTCCAGAGGGATCCACGGGACCTGAGGGGGGAGGACAGGAGGTGGCTGTATCAGTGCAGTGTTTGGAATAGAGCAGAGAGCTGAGATTAACAGACAGACCCCTGAACGCACCTTCTCAGAGTCGCTCTGATCGACAACCTCGAACTCACCATCGTCCTGCTGACGGTAAACAGCCGGCTGATACACACCTGACAGAGAGACCGTTACTATGGTTACTGGGTTACCATAAGTGATGCATGGTTGTTACTGCAAGTTGTACATTGTGGTTGCTATAGTTACCGTAGTAGATTGGATGGTGGCTATGGCTACCATAGTGGATTGAGGGTGGTTGCTGTGGTTAACATAGTGGATTGAGGGTGGTTTCTATGGTTACCATGGTAGATTGTGTGGTTGCTATAGTTAACATAGTGGATTGAGGGTGGTTGCTAGGTTACCGTAGGGGATGAAGGGTCTGTCTGTGGGTGGCAGCAGGATGAAATGTTTCTCTCCAGAAATGACACAGTAAAGATTCTCGTAGTGATCTTTGTGCACTGAGACAGAGAAACACAACAAACACTTAACACATACACACAACACACTCGGTTTGTGCATTTAAAACACAGTGTGTGGCTGGTGTTTTGTGTGAAGTTCAAGTCTCACTGGAGGTCACAGCGTTCGCCTCTCCGAGCCAAAAATTCACAGCATCAGGCAACTTTCCTAAGAGAAGAAAAAAGATAAAATATCATTAAGATCATGAGGATCTTCACTGAGATTATCTGTAACTTTTTTTTTTCCATCTTAACGGTCTAAATGCTGTTTCAAAGCCTGTAAGAGATACTGACTGCAATTAATCCAGTTACTACTGTTTATTAATAAGATGTGAATATAATACAATAATAAACAGAATTGCTGGTAGTAGTATTAGTAGTTACAAACCCCATAAACCTCATAGAAACTCATGGTTATGAAGTTACTTTCCTCCTCATTTCTCCTGTTCCTGTAAAAGCGGAACTTGTTTCCACCAGTGTTTTTGTGAAATGATAAAATGAGTAACCCAGTGTGACTGCCAACTAAATATAGTAAGAAATGGCTGTTTCTCAAAATAGACTCCTTAAAAACTAAAGTACAAGGAGCTTTATCAAATGCTTGATAACATTATATTCAACAACTGTATGAAACAGCTTCAGATTCAATAACATCTGCTTCAATCCAGTATTCAGCAAGCCAAATGAATGTTACACTTATTTTTGTGATTTTTTTTACTTTTCTTTTTTACATTTTTAAAAGATAATCAAATTCTGTCCAATCGTTAAGGCGGAATAAATATGTGAAATCAAAACTTTTCATGTTTCCAATTCGTGTTTCCACCTCCAACAGAAAATAGCTTTTCCATAACATAATAAATATAGTCGTTAGTCATTAATGGGCTAAATATGGACTGTTGTTGTAATTCTCCTCCCGGCCGCCGGGGCAGCACTGAGCTCTCAGTCAATTCACCCGCCATCTTGGATTTTACACTGCGCCTGTGAGGGGACCGAACTTCACCGACACTTCACCTGAATAAGTAAAGTTTTTTCACTTTACAACAACTTCACATCCACCTGAAACCACCTGAACCGTCCCTGACAAGTCCACCTTTAACCCAGCGGCGTTGTCTCTGCCCCGGCTCGCTCCTAGAAGAAGCCGGTGGACGTTAAACGCCGTAAGTCCGAGCTCCGTGAAGCAGCTAGCCGAGGGTGGCTCGGTGTAACCGGGGACATGGAGCACCGCTGCAGCCACTGTGGCGCTGCCATAGAGAGACAGACCAAAGGATATAAAAGAAAGTCTCTGCTGTCGCTGACGGACCGGCGGAGCGCTCAGAAACTGTTCCCGGACCTGAACCCCGCGGAGGCGTTTTTGTGTTTCGCCTGTGTGCGACTGGTTTTTCAGAGAACGAAGAAAAGTGGGAACAAGCGGGTTTACGTGGACCCTCAGCCCCGCTCCTGCCCGGCTCCCCCGGCCCGTCCTGCCGCCTCTGTCCCGGCAGAACCGCCTCCTCCGAAAAAGCTCAAGAAGAGGCTCAAAACGACTCTGAACGAACACGACTACGCCTCCCAGGACCCGTCGCCCTCCCCCCGGTCCGACCCCCCACCGGCCCGGCGCATCCGCCGCGGACCGATCCCGCAGATCTGCGGGTATCTGCGGAAGAAGAACTTCAGCTCCGCTCTGAACCGACTGCTGCAGGTGTCCGGCTTCAGGGAGGCTCTGATCAAAACCTGCTCCAAGATCATCTCCGGCGAGGTGAGAAGAGTTGAATCAATCAATACTTGATCATTAGTCTCAAATTCATAAATAAGTTTCTTTTAAAATGAATATTATATACACTGTGGACAAAAAATAACAAAAAATACTTTGTGAGAAAAACCCACCAACGTGTGGAGGCCCAGAGCTGCCAGGTTTATAATTACAAATTGAACTGTCACCGTAAACAGATCAGCAGTTGATTATTAATCATTTAGGCCGTTTTTCAAGTAAAAAATCATAATAATCCTGTTCCATGAAAGTTAATCAATTAATTTGATGATTTGAAAAAATTAATCCAAAACTATTTTGATAATCAGTTAATCATTTCAGTCATTTATCAAGCAAAGATACCAAATATTTTTATATGGTTCCAGTTTTTCAAATGTAATTTGCTGCTTGTCTTTGCAGCAGCAGCAGAGCTGTTACACAGCTGTCACTACATCGTTTATTATTGATTATTTTTGTGACATTTTATTGATAAAAGGATTTATGACTTAATCAAGAACATAATGCATTGGTAGTTGCAGCCCCAAATGCAGTTGATTTTGTAATATTTAAGAAACAAAACAGTTGATTGGAAAAGTAATTGGCAGGTTTATCCATCATGAAAATAATGGTTGGTTGCCACCTAAAATTGTATAATTGTAGACAGAGAAGAAGATTTCTCACAGTTGTACAGTGTAGTCAAAAGGATTTCAATAGAATGAAAACAAAGCAACTGTTTATGGAGACGTTTTTGCAGCGTAAACAGATGGTGAACGACCTGGACGGACCGTACAGGAAGACCTTCAGCCCAGAGAACCTGTCAGCCTTCAGCTGGGATAAGACTACTTCCTGGGCTGAAGAGAAGGCTCCTCTGACTGTGGCCTGCCTCAGAGCCATGTTTCCTCCCGCCAAAAAGATCCAGAAACAGATGGTGAACTATGGCCGAGGGAATAACCCACGGTGGGTCAAAACTAATGAGAACACTGATTTAGAAACATGTTTAAAGTCGCAGCTGGTTCTGATATTTGTTATTTAAACTTCAGGGTTAATTCCTGGAAAGCTCTAAGAGTGGACTCAGTCTTAGGAAGATAAATGTAACGTGGGGTTGTCGTGTTTCAGGCAGATGACTGAGGACGAGGTGAAGCAGATGTTGGACCGGAGGATCAGCCTCCTCCTCTCAGTACCTCTGTACACCAGCACAGTCAGAGCCTGTTTCCTTCAGACCGCCTTCAGCGTGGAGATGTTGAGACACCGCTGTCCCATCAAACTCTTCACCATCACCAACAGCCTCGGCATCTCACAGTCCAAAACCGCCGCCAGGATCCACGCCAAGAGGCTCGCCCAGGAGCACGACCGACAGGTGAAGCAGTGGAGAGACGAGATCCAGGTGAGAAATGTTCACGTTCTCTCCACGTCCAAACCCTCGTCCTAGACCTCACTGTCAGACTAATCCTTAGACCTGGAGCTTTGGAGACCAGGAACAGCTGCAGCAAAACTCAGAGTCAGGACTGTAGGACTAATTCTCACAAACCGACCAATCAGAACACTGCTACAAACTGAACCAATCAGAATACTGCTACAAACTGAACCAATCAGAACACTGCTACAAACCAACCAATCAGAACACTGCTACAAACCGACTAATCAGAACACTGCTACAAACCGACCAATCAGAGCACTGCTAGAAACCAACCAATCAGAACACTGCTATAAACTGAACCAATCAGAACACTGAATATCCTCCTCCTCTTTAGAGCACGAGAAGGACGCAGTACTGCTGTGACGACTCCAGGAAAGCTGCAGCTTACACCTTCACCTGGGGGAAAGTTCGGGTGAGACGATTTGTGACCGACAACAACTTTCTGCTTCACATCGTCTGCTCATCAGTTAATGAAGGAAGTGTCTGTGTGCTGCAGGTACCGTCTGTGTCCAGGTCGGACTCCGCAGAACGAGGATACTCCTTTGTGACGTGGGCGTTTCGCTTCGCTCATCAGGTTCGGGTTAACTTCCGTTACCTGCACGGAGATCCGATCAAAGCAGTGGAAGTGTCTCCGTACAGCGTCCTCCCAACCAGACAGGTACACACACCTCACACACACACAGGTGCGGTCCAGTGTGTCTGCGAGCTGGAGCTCCACGTCATGCTGTTCATGAGCTTCTGTAAAACTTCAGGTTCGTTGTCTTTCTACGGTGTGAAGCTTTAGTCTCATTAATCAGAGCGACGTCTCGCTGCGTGGTCATCAGCTGAAGTGCACTGCTCTGCAACGTAATACAAGAAACCTGCTTCAAGAGATAAAGTGTCACTTTGGATTGAAGTCGGCGCCATCTTGTTTTCAGGTTGTCCATCCCATTCTCGTTTACACGATGTCTCCGTAACGCCTTGAAGGAACTTCTTCAAATTTGACACAACCATTCAGTGGGCATCAAGGATGAACTGATTAGATTTTGGTGGTCAGAGGTCAAATGTCAAGGTCATGGTGACCTCACAAAACACTTTTTAACCATTACTCGACTTCGCAGCAATTATGACAACATTTATTTTATATGACTCAAGGTAAACAGGGATGTAACCTGAAACTAGTCGGAGTGGTCCTTTGACCATCACACTGCATCATCCTGACAGGAGGAACTTCATCATCATGTTTTAATTTTCTTAGACGTACGAGTCGCTCCGACAGCGAATGAAAATCATTGTGATGCGAATCATCGCCGACAACCTGGAGGTCCTGAAAGGACCGAGGGGACGAGTGGTGAGACACATCCCTCACATCTACTCCGACCGGATGAAGGAGCAGAGCACCACTGTGAGTCCACAGGAAGAGCTGATGAACCCGAATGTCTCTGCACTTTCATTCTGGGGACGACGAAGAACCAGAAGATGTTTCCTTTCAACAGTTTTTTCCCCCACAGGTGAGTCTGGGTGCAGTGATACCGAACACCACAGAGGAGTCTGTTAGCGTAGCGTACGGCCTTAAAGACTACATTCCTGTGGTTTCTGGGAAACCATACCACATCCTGTGTTGTGGGGACGTCCTGAGCGCCGACAGGGCCGAGCAAGGCAACCAAAACCAGAACAACGAAACTCCAAACCCAAACCTGGATCTGAGGTTTGACGGCCTCGTAGAAGCACCTCCAGAGTTTCAGAAGGAACACCTGTTTCATGAGGTGAGAGAAACTTTACTGCACTGAAACAACAACACCTGTGTGATGTCAAGTCCTGCAGCTGCATCACAATAAAAGTCCTCCAGCTGCTTCACATTAATAAAAGTCCTCCCGCTGTTTCAAAATAAAAGTCCTCCAGCTGTTTCACAATAATAAAAGTCCTCCAGCTGTTTCACATTAATATAAGTCTTCCAGCTGTTTCATAATAAAAGTCCTAGAGCTGTTTCACAATAAAAGTCTACAGTACAATAATTCCTGTGTTGCTTGAACCCGCTCAGGAAATGATAAAGATGCTTCTCAGTGAGAAGAGTGAGAACTCTCGAGGATCTCTTCATCACATCATCTCACTGTTTCACTTCAAGACGTTTAACAACACGGCCAAAGACTACTTCCTCAACATCTGGGACTTCATCACGGTAAGGCTGTGGAAATATAATAATATGATTGAGGTTGATCAGTCCGACACTTGACTGATTGATCTGTGATTGTGTGTTTTTAAAACTTATTTCGGACCTGCAGCTCACTCTTTCATCCCCGTGTGCAGCCACGGAGTTTCTGGTTGAACAGCACCGTGCTGTCATTAGAGCTGCAACCATTAGCTGATTCATTGATTAGTCGATCGACAGAATCATAACACATAAATAATCAGCAACTCTTTTTATGGTGGATTAATGATTTTTTTCATTTTACAGGTAATTTACTTAATATTTGAATGTACCAGCGTCTTAAATGTCAGAATAAGATTCTTCCTTTGTCTCATGACCGAAAACTGACTCAGCTTTCTGAACACATCACTTTGGACTGTGGGAAATTATAACGGAGCATTTCACTGTTTTCTGACAAAACAATGAAGCGATTCATCAGTGATTAATCTGCAGGTTATTGATGAAAATAATCATGGAGTTGATGCAGATGATCCTGTTAATTATTCACTGAAATATTCTGCTCCCTGACCAAAATGAATGTAAATTTTCTTCCTTCTAAAGTTTGTGACGACAGCGTACGTGACTCTGTTTGCTGTGACAGAGTGTGGTCTGGACTCTGTGGACCAGAGACCCTCAGACTACCCCTCTCAGGTCTCAGATCAGATGGACTGGCTCGGGGACCTGGCTCACAGGTTGGTGGATCTGGTGTGGATGCCTCCATGTCAGGAAGACATCAACACTGCTGCTGCTGCTGCTGCTGCTGCTGCTGCTGCTGCTGCAGGTCGAAGTGACGGACAGAAGAAAACCTCCCCCTTCTGTTACTGCAGAGAAGGTAGGAAACAGCATTGAGCCGTTTCCCCATTTTGGTTTTCTCATTTCAAAAGTAAAATTCTTTGGTCGATACATGGACCGAAGATGAATGCGTGGACAAGGAGGGATATGGAGGCAGAAACTCACAGGTTCGATGTCTTCCTGCCTTTATTCAAACAGTTTTGTGTAAAATATTTGTGATTTGTTTCTTTCTCCGATCAGCAGGTTGAACAGGTGGAGATTTCCAGGAAAATGTTTGTTGGCTGAAAACGCTTGTTGTTTGTGTCTGAGTCTTAAACCCGACTTGTCCTGTTGCAGAGAAGCCGGAGGAGCAGCTGGTGCGGTGCTGCAGTCACCTGTGTCCAGGTATCTGGTTCCATGACGGCTGCGCTCGGGCTCAGACCCTCTCGGACCCACATGAGGACTGGTTCTGTGGTCCGGACTGCAGTGCAGACGGGACCTACATCTACTGTCACTGTAAGGAGCAGAAGGGGGGGCAGATGGTCCAGTGTGGACTGATGGACAAGTGCAGGAGACACGAGTGGTACCACAGAGACTGTCTGACAGCGGCCGAGCAGAGCAGAGCCGAACAGAGTGAGACGTTCATTCATTCATTCATCAGAGCTTCACTGCAGAGCCACAACTCAAATGGGTTTAATCACATTTGGAACCAGTTTGGATTCTAACTGTGATTAAATAAGATAAATAACTGAGACGAGATGAATCTGAAATGTCATGAGCAGGTTTCCATCACTGAACTGAAGCCGGTCAGACTGATCTTTTATTCTGTTCCTTGGACAATGAGAAATGAGGGTTTTTCATCCAGTTCCAGTTATTTGTCAGAGGGTCTTTTGCGCCTCAGTTCAAAACTCAAACACTTGTTTCAAAGGAACAATTTTACGAATCAAAAGTTCATGAGGATGTTTTGGTGATTTTGGTTTTTAAGACATTTTCCAAAATCCAGAACTAATTCTGAAATATCCGTCTGCCAACCTTTTTATTCCTGTTGTTGGAAAAGATTTATGGGAATTAAGTTTTTATTTTATGTCTCCACGCCGGCGACAGTCAGAGCAGCCATGTTGTTTTCAGGTTGTCCGTCCGTCCCATTCTCATGGACACCTTGAAGGAACTTCTTCAAATTTGGTGCAAACATTCACTAGGACTCAAGGATGAACTGATTAGATTTTGGTGGTCAAAGGTCAAAGGTCAAGGTCATGAGAATGGGAAGGGCGGCTCTGACAGTTGCCGGTGTGGAGCAATAAAAACACCAGCAGCACCTACAGACGTCTCTGTACATTGTGGGTCTTTGAAGACCTGCCTTCGTCTTTAGTCTGTTTGTCATGTTAACTGACTGTGGACACCGGGGGGCGCTGCAGACACTGATCCCTGCCCTTTGCTTCTTCCTGCTGGTCCAGCTCCGTGGTTCTGCTCAGAGTCCTGCTCATTGGCTGCTGACGGCGAGGACTTCCTGTTGAACTACACGAGGGCGGTGGTGTGGGAGGGGCTATACCACATGGCCAGACGGGACGCCATCCAGGAGGGAGATGGAGACGCCATGATGGACTTCTGGAAGATGGACCTGGTCCTGCTGTGGACCAGAGAACACCAGCAGCTCTTCAACAGCAGCCACCACATCCTCACTGGTACGAGTCTGAAAACAGGCAGATGTTGCTGCAGATGTTCGGCCGGTGTCACCGCAGGCTCATGTTGTCATGGTTACTGTGTGTGCACACAGGGATTGAGGGGTTCTACCCGGAGCGAGTCAGACAGGACATGAAGTGGAACCGGGTGTTGAATCTTCAGGGAACAGCTGGAGGAAACATCAGCCTGGACCTCCTCACTGAGCTCATGATCAACGAGTTCAAAGGTCAGACCACCGATTGATCGATTGATTACTGATATCGGAGCTGTTAGGGGGTTGTAAGTGACACAGGCGAGGTCTTAAACCTCTTTTCCACTGTGGGAAAGGTCAAATGTCAAGGTCACAGTGACCTCACAAAACCCAGTTTTGGCCTTGTGAACGCAATATCTTGAGTGTTTCGGCGGAGGCGGTATTTTCTAGTTCTTCTGGAGCTTTATTGTGGAGGGACATGTTTTGTGAGGTCACCATGACCTTGACTTTTGACCCATAACCCCCAAAATCTAAATCAGTTCATCCTTGAGTCCAAGTGAATGTTTGTGCCAAATTAGGGAGTTAGGGGCGGAGCCAGACACTGCCAAGATGGCGACGGTGGAGAAGCTCACTCTGAGCTTCACAAACCTGTGGGTGACGTCACAGCGGCGACGTCCATCTTTATTTACAGTCTGTGGTTTATTCCTGGAGGTGGTGAACTCACTCTGACCTCTCTGCCTCCAGGTGTGATCGAGTTCGGTAAAGGCAGCTTCACGAAGCAGCAGGTGGAACACAGCGCTCAGCTGGCCGGACCTCAGGCCAAAGACCTGGACCGGCTTTTCTTCACAGGGGGAAACCCTCTGAACCTGTGCTCGTACCTGTCCCGTGTGACGTCCCGGTCCTGCAGCAGGAGCGAGGACGTGTCCAGGTTTGTGGAGGAGTTTAAGAAAGACGAGCTGTTCGGGTTCAAACCAGGAAGGAAACATCAGGGCTTCAACCAGTTCACCTACAGACAGAGGCTCCGCAAACCAGAGAGGCTGGGCAGGACCCTGAGGAGTCTGTCTGAAGACCTGGACCGACGGAGAGACGTGATCCTCTGAGCACGAGGAGTCATGTGACATGGTGACATCACTGCCATGTTAAAGACTGCGCAGTGACACTGAAGCAGAGATCCAGTAAATAAGGAGACGCTCAGCTCGTGACAGAATCGACCCCTCCCACCCCTCAGCAGCCAATCAGGCGACAGCAGCAGGTTACACAGCTGCCTCCTCATAGGAAGGTGATGAAGAGGTCACATGATGTCAGGTGATGTCACCGTGCCACAGAGAGACAGTCTGTGCTGCCAGACTGTTAGCATTAGCATTAGCAGCAGGAACCAGACCAGTCGCTGTTTGTCACTTTATCAGTCACATGTTTCTCATTTATTCATTTTTATTTTTTATTATGTGGCTGAAGTAAAAACAGCTGTTTATCTGAACACGTGTGTGATGAGGTGTAAACGTGAAACTGTCATCGACCCAGAGATAAAGTTTAGAGCCTGAACAAACTTTAAGACGTTGGTGAATAAGACTTTTTAAAGACTTATAAATTAATTTCTTTTAAAGATTTTCCATGATCTACAGAAACTGTGTGTGATCCCAGAACAGCTGCTTCATCTTTCTGACCTGAAGATTCACGACCTGTTTGATAAGTTTTGTAATGAATTTATAATTGAATTTGTGTATTCTTGTGCCGTTATGAGTATGACTGAGTCAGCTCAGTCTTTGCGGGACGGTCAAACAGTCAAACAGACGCGAACACGCCTCCATATTTACTGAAATGAATGAACCAGTGGATTTTGACATAAACAATAAACAATTATTAAAACCAAAGGATTCATTTTCTGTCGGATCAACTAATCAATTAATAGCTTCAGCTCTATATTTATTAGAGACAGGTTGCAGATCTAACCCCTCCTGACAGGTGACCCGTCTGAGCATGCTCAGTAGTCTGAACTCACCGAGCGCGGTGCTCATCCAGGGAACGTGAGGCTCCACGTCGTCGGTGAGCTCCGGCAGCTCCTCCAGCAGGTTAGAGCACTGCTTCTGAACATAGAACACACCACGCTGCTGCACCTGCAACACACACACACACACACACACACACACACTCTCTGTCAGGACTCCACATTAACATCAACTCGTTGCAGATATGAGTCACTTCTCTGTCGTTTATTGACACTGAAATGTCCTGATCAACAATAATCTCATCCCTTCGATCTACAGGTGTCAGTTTTTAAAGACCTGGTCCTCCCCCCAGGTGACATCAGCACGACCTCAGTCCTCCGTTAACCCTGCCAATGTCAGAGTTTCTGTTTGATGCTCTTTCTACTGTTTCTCACTCACTCTTCATTTATATTTCATTTCAGATCATTAACAATGTTCACTGATTCCAAACTGGACCATCTTACAATTGTATTAATTGAAGTCGAGGTGCAGCGTTTGATCTAAACTACGGTGGCCCAAGAAGGTCAAATGTGCTGCAACGGCCCAAAACACTTCATCAGGAGAAACGAGCTGCAAATTCAAAAACACGAACAAAAATAGAAAACAAAAACAACGGAAACCTGCTGAAAATGAAACAACCTGCCGCAGGAAGCCAAAACAAACACAAAGCAAATACCTTCCCCTGGATGATGTCGAGAACAGCAGAAAAACTCATCTGTCTCTCTTCAGGCATCACGAAGCGATCACCGTTCACGGCGTCAGCGTAGCCGTTAGGAGTCACCGCCACACTGATGACCTTTGACCCCACCTTCTCCCTGCAGACAGGGAAACAGGATAATGTTCACCTGACCACAGAAGAAGACCTGTGCAGGTGTCGGTGGGCGGGGCTTCCTTACCTCAGGTACTCTGGCGTCCACCTGGACAGGGCCGGCCAGTGGCTGAAGGCGTTGCGGATGATGCAGGGCTTGTTCGGACCAATCCAGTCGCGGTAGAACTGCAGCGGGTCAGGTGGCTCCTCCAGGTATGGCACTGATTGGTTCAGATACAGATCTGCAAGGTAATCAATAATCAATCACTCTGATTGATCACCACTGGGAGCAGCAGTTTGACCGGTGCTAGTAATATCATTATTATTATTAACTACTACAGTAACAGTAGTTATGGTAGTAATAGTATTTGTAGTTGCAGGAGTCATAGCAGTATCAGTCACAGTAGTATTAACTAGTACTTATAGTACTAGTACTGTAACACCAGTAGTGACAGCTGCAGAAGTATTACAGTGTATGCAGTAATAGTAAGTAGTAACTGTAGTAGTAATGGTGGTTTCTATACTATGAGCACGAGTAGTGTTAGTTATAAAATACTACACTAGTAAAAAAATATTTACTGTACAGCAGTAGAAGGACTGATACTAACCGTATTACTCACAGTACTTACAGCAGTATCAGTAGTACTTAAGAGTAGTGACAGTAGTACTGACAGTACTATTAGTAGTAATAGTAGTACTGAAAGTAGTAATAGTAGCAGTAGTAGTATAGTAGAATTGACAGCAGTATAAGTATCAGTAGTAGTGGTACTGACTGTAGTAGTAGCAGTATTATAAGTATCAGTACTGTTAGCAGTAGTAGTATCAGTAGTACTGGCAGTAGTATTAGCAGTACTCGTCCTCTCACCGTGAGCTTCTAGTGAAAACTCAGTAAGGCGTTCGTTCACAGACGCCATCTTGGTTCATCACAGCTGATCTGGAGTCAGTTATAATGAGATCAAACTAATATTCTGTCCTGACGGATTCTCCAACCTCATGCTGCCATGCTGCTTTGTTTACATCCTATGCGCATGCGCAGAGCTCCGCTCCGGTAGTGATTGTGGAGCAGGTCTCCACCTGCAGGAGGGAGGATGAACTGCAGGACAAACGACCACAACAGCAGCTCAGTTCAAAAACATATAGAAGTCAAAATACATAAGCCTTGATAACAAGATAATAATAATATAAAATACAATAGTAGTATGTTAAATAAAATAAAATAAACCAATAAGAAAATTTATAAATGATTAATTTTAAACAATGCAAATGGTTAAGATAAATAAATACAGAAAGAGACTTGAAACATTAAAATGGGAGCACAGTTTTATTAGCTTTTTTGTTTTCTGACAAAGTTATTGTCTTAATATTCAGCTCCATTTCTTTGTTGAAAACATGAAAGTGAGATTTCATTTTAGCAAATTTTGCATTTGTGAATGTAAAACTTTGCAAAAAAGTATAATGAGATTAATTATAAAATATTCCTTTTCATATTTTTTGATATATGTTTTGATATATATGATATATGATCCTTAAGAAACCAAAAAATACTTTAATGTGAAAATCTCCAGTTCGTGAAGCTGCCAGATAAACGTGCTGCAGTAAGACGTTCAATAATGAGGTGGAGTACAAGAATAAAGCAGCATGGAAAGAAAATACTCAAAGTACAAGTACCTCTAAATTGTACTTGAGTGGAGTATTTGAGTAGAAGTAGTGAGTTACTTTCCTGCACTGCCTCAGGTGAAGTGTGTGTGAGCGTTTGATGAGTTCAGGATCACATCAGTGTGGATTGGATGCAGCTGTGCAGCTCTGCCTGGAACCAGGTCCTGGAAGATCCTGGAGCAGATCAGCTGGTTCTTCAGTCATGGACGAGTCGGCGTTGGAGCGTTACTTTGATGACTCCATTGCAAATGTGAGTACAGACTGCCAGGCTGCCGCGCTGCTGTTTTGAACATCCAAAGCTTTATTTAAACATGAAGTTAAGGTTGAGATGATTCACCTGTCACCTGTCTCTCTGTGAGGCTGCATGAAGGTTTGATCTGTGACCTGGAGTCAGAATATTTAGTTCCTGTGGAGGATGAACTGAAAAAATAGACCCTCGCTCAGGTGACCAAACATTTCACCTGCTTTTTATTGAATTCTTTGACTTGATTCAAATCAAATTCCAGTTGTTCCATCAAACCAAACATTTTTTTTCTCTGATCATGTTTTACACTTTCAATACATGAAGCTCCAGAAGCTGAAACGTCTCAGGACCAGGACTCAGAGTGGTTTATGTGAGCTCTAGATTTGAATCTTGAGCTAGGATGTGAATCTGACTGAGGGAAGACACTGGAATTAAAGTGTGGTGAATTTGTTAGAGTTAAATTTGTTAAGTTTTGTGAGCCTTTGAAGTTGTGCAACATCCTGTTCTCCTCTTTGTCACGATGAATTTAACAGCTGAGATATATTTTAATCTCTGTGCATGTTCCAGGGCTGTACATGAATCAGGAGCTGGTTTCACAGACAGACTTTGACTCTTAGATAAAACAGTCAGATGGACCGAGTCTGAATTCATCTGTTGCACAAAGCAGTTCAGTTCTTGATTATCTTATCTTATGTTTCCTGACATATTGTCAAAAATACGCAAATATTAGGGAGGAATTCTTCACAAAACTTGAACAAAAATGCCCCAAATTTAACAATTTAACAAACGGGGAGAAATGACCCATCGCTCTGGGGGAATGGAGAGGATGTGCAGTGTTGGCTGGTAAATGTCAGTTCCTGCCACAAGAAAAGAAACCAAATGTATTCATCTGCCTCCGTCTATTTTGGCATTTGTATATTTGTGTGTATATAAATTTATCACTTTTCTTCCTTTATTTCATTATCAGTTAATTGTATCAATAATTATATTGTATTTTATTATATTAATATTCTTATTATTTTTTTCTTCCTTTGATTATTTAATTCCATTAATAATTGTGTTTTGGCAACACAGTGGAAATGTCATGATAATAAAGCCTGTTGAATTAAATTGAATTGAAATTGAGTGGAAGTGGAGTCTGCTGGACTCTGTGGGTGGGGAGGGGAGGGGCTCGTCGTGAGGGTGAAGTCCTGCTTTGTTCCGATAAACCACCTGTTGGACCAGGGGTGAGCAGGTCCTCTACTGGGGAGCCAGACCAGCAGCTGGACTGGAAACACTTTGATCTGCACTGACCTGTCTGAAAGGTGCTACACAGATAATGATCAATGGATTGATTTCCTCCTGCAGGACTCAATCTTCATGTTGGGGGAGGGGCCTCTGGGCCTCCAGAGTCCCGCCCCCTCCCAGCAGGATCCCTCGTACCTGTCAGCGAAGGCGGGGCCAAACGGAGAGCTGGGGGAGGAGCTGGACCTGAGTTTTCTTCCTGATGAACTCAGCACACAGGATGACACAGGTGTGACATCACTGACGAATTATATTTTTTTTCAATAACCTTTATTGTAAATATACATCAAGTAACAAACAACAGTCTGTAACTCTGGTGTTTGATTCCAGCTGGAGCAGCAGAGAGTCAGACTGCAGCTCTGGACACGTCTCAGGACAGCGGCATCTGTCCGGACTACAACTCCCAGGATTCCACTGCAGCTGACACCCAGCAGGGGGCGTCCATGTCAGGACTGGGGACCAGCGCCTCCCCCTTCTGTCCCATGACCCCTATGACCCCCATGACCCCCATGACCCCTGTGACCGAGAGATCAGGAATCATCCCACAGTTACAGTAAGTTACTGATGAGTCTAGAGCCACAGTACTGATACTGTAGTACTGATACTTTACCTGTAGTACTGATACTCTAACAACAGTACTTTTCAGGTTTCTGGTATGGCGATGTGATGTGTGTGTGTGTGTGTGTGTGTGTGTGTGTGTGTGTGTGTGTGTGTGTGTGTGTGTGTGTGTGTGTGTGTGTGTGTGTGTGTGTGTGTGTGTGTTTTCATGGTTCTCAGCATAATGCTGACTTCAAACCTGGCTGCTCAGCACGTGTTGCCTTCACATGCTGCTGTGTATAAACTGAAGAAGAACTGACTCTTAGCTCTTGTGTATGTAGGAACATTGTCTCCACAGTCAACCTGGGTTGTCCTCTGGACCTGAAGTTCATCGCCCTGCAAGCCAGAAATGCCGAGTACAACCCGAAGGTACCGAGACCTGACCTTCCTCTGTCGGCGTGTCGGTTTGAAATATACGAGCTGACGTCTGTTCCTCCTGATGCTGTTTTTGTTTCAGCGTTTTGCAGCCGTCATCATGAGGATCCGCGAGCCTCGGACCACAGCGCTGATCTTCAGCTCAGGGAAGATGGTCTGCACCGGAGCCAAGAGGTCAGTGTGACAGTTTGAGCCTTTTCCTACTGAAAGAATTCAAGCTAACGTAGCGTCTCTTCATCATCACTGGCTCTAATTGTGCCTCCACCAATCTGCGACCTGTGGAGGACCAGTGATGTCACAGGAAAAGTAATAAAGCATTTCCTTAATTTCATATTTTGATAGGCATTAAAAATAGGAATTGTTAAAAGAATTTATAAATGAACGATTAATCCATTCATAAATATTTAAGATTTAAAAATGGATTTACAAAAGCAGCATAAAACTCATTAAATAAACCATTTATAGATACGTTAGGTTACAGGTTGGTGAGGTCCTGCAGTGGAAAGACACAGGTGTGACTGTGCTGGAAGATGTTTGCTCTCAGTTTATTAACCCTCTTCTCCTCTGGGTGCGTTTGAGTGAGGAGCAGTCGCGGCTGGCAGCCAGGAAATACGCCCGGGTGGTGCAGAAACTCGGCTTCCCTGCTCGCTTCCTGGATTTTAAGATCCAGAACATGGTGGCCAGCTGTGACGTCTGTTTCCCCATCAGACTGGAAGGACTGGTCCTGACCCACCAGCAGTTCAGCAGGTAGAAACACCGACTGCTGCTCATTTATTCTTGAGGAGACGGGGTTAGCCTAGCTTAGCACAAAGACTGGAAACGCTGTTTGGGATCGTTCCAGCCCAGTTTAACCTCTGGTTACTACATAATTCAGCTTTATGTAAACAAAGCCACTGAAACTGATTGTATGTGTTTTTGTCTCCAGTTATGAACCAGAACTGTTTCCAGGACTCATCTACCGGATGGTGAAACCTCGTATCGTCCTGCTCATCTTTGTGTCTGGGAAAGTGGTTCTGACCGGTAATGAAACTCAAATATCTCCACGTAGTTGTAGGGAAGAAACAGATGGAGGGTTGAGTTGAACATCACCAAGTATGAGTTAACAACCAAGGCCTTGTCCACAGTAACACAGATATTTTAGTGTCTGACTCCGCCCCTAACCTCCAGCTGATCCAAAACTAGTCAAAGAGGAGGGGCGTGTGTGGAGCTGAGACTTCGGGGCATGCTGATTTGTGGCAAGCATACATTCAACCACCTGTCACTCAAAGAGGCCACGCCCTCAATCCTCCGTAACTTTAGTCCTTAATAAAATGTAAACAGGTGAGTTATATAAACAGGTGTCATGAAGGAGGAAATCAGCTCTAGAGACCAAAACAGTTTTTATACCAGGCTGTAAACATGTTTATATAAAGTTGGAAATTTTCACATGGGAGTCTATGGGGACTGACTCACTGTTGGAGCCAGACTCTAGTGGTCATTAGAGGAACTGCAGTTTTTGGTTCTTCAGCGTTGGTTTCTTGTTTCAGCTTTGGAGGTTGATGCTTGCTTAAAACACTGTCAGTGGATGGAAGGACAAAACATAGGAAAATGTTTGTTTTACAAAATATACATGTTGATGTGGACAAGATCTTTACCCCATAACTATGAGATCTGTTGTCTCTTTTCATACAGCTGTGGAAACTGATGTTTCAGCTCCAGTCATCTGTTTTAGCTAAATGCTAACAGCTACCTTTTAGTGTTGAGTGCTGTTAACTTGCAGTTAGTTCTCATAATAAGGCAACCTTTTTTTATGAGATACAGATCACAGTATTCAGATATATTTACTCCTAATTATGAAAAACAGATCCAATAAATCCAAAATGCAGATCTCGTAATTATGAAACATGGATCCTGAAGTTATGAAGTATGTATCTTGTAATTACAGATAATTAGGAAATACATATTTTCATAATAATGCAATACTTGATCTTGTAATTATAGAACATGGATTTCGTAATGATGGGATAAGATTTTTTTTTTTCTTTAGTGAATCCATTTCCTCACAACTTGTTTAAATGGAGTTGTAACAGTTATTTAGTCATGTGTTAAATTCCAGGAGCTAAAGAACGAGCTGAGATCTACGAAGCGTTTGAGAACATTTATCCGATCCTGAGAGGCTTCAGGAAACAGTGAGGACTGGGACAGCACTTCCTGTTTTGTAAATAGATTAAATGTGTATGTGTATATATCTATATCTGTATTTTATTTTGTTAAGTAGCAGAATTGTGGATGGTAAATGAGTCTGCTGTTTGTTGAATGTTTCACCGTCCTGGAAAAAAAGCAGAGAAAACCGCTGTTGATTAAAAGTGACTTTATGTTTTATCTTCTGACTCAGACCTTCACTGTGAACTCAGATTTAAACACTGACTCTTTACAGAAGCACTGACTCGACTTTAATATCAATGAACTCATATATCGGTTGATAAATCAAACTTGAGTATCAGTGACTATAATAACGAAATGATCATGTTGTGTAGATAATCATATCATTAATTCAGAAAAACAGCTAATTTTTTTTGTCATGTGAATGCATTATGCTTCCATAGAACAGCTTTGTTTTCATCTCTAACTTTTAACTTTTTTTTTTTTTCAATTGTTTTATTATACAAAACATTTTCCATTTCATCTTAAAACAATTAAACATTGAACATGGAGGAAACAATCATAACCTATGAAACAAGATACATAGTAAAATATGAACAATGCATACAAATACAATAAATACAATAAATGGAAATAAATGTAACATAAATAAGGATGATGAAACAAAAATAATAAAAGTATTTCAAAAGAACAAACTTATAAACTAACTTTTAACTCAACCTGAAGTTTTGCGGCCTGTCTTTGACTCCGCCCTAACCCTTACGTCATTACATAAACAAACCCGTCACGTTTTCAGAACAAACCGGAAGTGGCGGACTCATCGTCTGCTCATCAAAACAACAACACAACAGTGTGTCAGTCCGTTATCACCGGAGAGTTTTAAAAATATGTTAGCGACATCACAGAAAATCTAACGGCCAGAAGAGTCCGCATGGAGCCGTAGAGAGCGCTGAGCCGATCAACTCGTTCCCTCTTTAACACATTTACATTTAACGTTAGCTTAGCGGGTTAGCCGAGCTCTTCTCCATGGCGTCCTCGGCGGGACTCCCACCGCTCGGCCCGGACCGAGCTGCTTCATCCGCCGGCTCTCATTCCGGGGGCAGGCCTCCTCTCCGACCTCACCACCCCCATCCGGCTCATTCGACTCCGGGCTGTGTGATGGTGGAGTCGGTGGACGACGCGGAGGGTCTGTACGTGGCGGTGGAGCGGTGCCCCCTGTGCAGCACCTCCCGCCGCAGGCTCACCTGTGCCCGGTGCGTCCAGGCCGGGGACTTCGTGTACTTCGACGGGAGGAACACGGAGAGGTAAAGTCCAGCGCTTGGTCCTGATATCATGCAGATTTCAGCCTGTGCTCCGCAGTCTTCTCACTGCCGATGCTGAACTTCGTGGCCAGATTTGAGAATTTTAGTGTTGCCTTTATCTTTTCCCCACAGTGTCTAAATCTCACTGGTTATATAGGATGTGGATGAAAATATGATCAATCTTTACTGTTCGGCGTAGATATCAATACTCAAAGCTTCATTTCACCCAACAAATCTGACATTTTCTTGTTCATACAGCCCGCTTGCACCTGATCAAACGTAGTTGTTTTGGTGGAATGTGAAAGCGGGATAGACAGATTATAGGTTGGTTATTATATCGTAATAGTTGCTGGTAGGTGTATTACATGCATGCCGAATTGAAAAGTGAATCATTCAGAAGATAAGATGAGAATTATGTCCTTACATATGTTTATGTTCTGGTTTAAAAACAACGCTAAGTTGGCAGTTGATGTTTTTACACATTGAGGTTTCTCTTGCTAACGTCAGATTCAATGTTACACGCGAACTTAGTTCAATCTTGAGTGCTTTTATAGAAGTTATACAGAAAAACTAGCAAAGGCTTTTTGAAATGAGTTAATTTACAATCTGTTGCATCATTATTATCAGTTCAGGCTAGTTAGCATTAGCAGCTAACGCTCCTCGGTAATAACAGCGCGTGTTTGAGGCCAGTTTTATCTGACGTATAGCAGTTAGCTTGTTGGCTGTGTTGTGGTGTTTTTTGTCCTGGCTGCTGGTTTCCAGCAGGTTTATTAGACTCTGTTAGCTGTTAGCTTTCTACTGCTGAGTCAGCCTGTAACTCGGTGTTAGTTTGGCTAGGTTAGCTGCTCTGCTACAGTTACACAACACGTGAAACCCCAAAATAACTTTGTCCTCATAGTTTTCATGCCTCTGGCAGTTTGTCAAACTCCGGGGACCGCAAGGGACCAAATCAACAGCTCAGCTGCTCCGTGAAGTTTAAACTGTTGTTATATGATTACATTTCTAATATGACTGTTGTGTTTCTGGTTGTATTGTCTCTGCAGATACATAGAAAAGTTGGAGCGGCTCAAGAAGCTGAAGGAGGAAAAGGAGCAGCTGCAGCAGAGGTGAAGCTTATAGCTGTTAGTGACACTGTACTACAGTACCACACACACACACACACATATCTCAGATTCAAATCTGAGCTTCAGTCCCGCATCAACAAGGTAACAAAGACATAATTTTTCCTCCTTTATAAACAGCTAAAGTTCAAACATTCATGCCTCCATTTCAAGGCTTGATCACTGTGATGCACTTTGTACTGAGCTCCCTGGAAAAAAACAGAGACTTCAGCACATTGAAAACTCAGCAGCTCAGCAGAGACCACATCAGTCCAGTTTTAGCTTCCTGTTAAATTTAGAATTGATTTTAAGCTCCTCCTTTTATATGCAAAGGTCTTACTGGACGAGGAACGAGCTACATCACTAACTCCCCGATTAACTATTGACCAATAAGGACACTCAGATCATCTGCTGCTGCTTTATTGAAGGTTCCAGTAACAGCTGGAGGAGATTCAGGATGCAGCCGTTGTCAGTTACGACCCAAAGCTGTGGAACACACGACCTGTAGAGATCAGAGAAGAAGCTCACTGAGCGTTTTAAAAGAAAGATTCAAACTTATCTCTTCCCCTCAGCCTTTAACTAAGTATTGATGTCTTACAGATTTTATTCTTTCTATGTTTTCTTACGTTCATTTTATGTGAATTTCATGTGAAGCACTTGCTGCTACATTTCTTGTGTGAAAGGTGCTATACAAATAAAGTTTATTATTATTATTATTATTATTATTACTACATAATGCCACAATAGTCATTTCCATAGGTCTGCAGCAAAGACAAAAAGCTCTGGTAACTGAAAACTCTCCCCTCCTCACAGAGTCCTCCAGGGCATGGACAGGAAGCTGCAGGCGGATGAGATGGTGAGTCCAGCTCAGTTACCTTTACCTGGTTCAGGTACTGTGGATATCTATGTCCTGGTGTTTGGTTCCACCTTTTCTTCCCTTATGAGCAGTGGCCTGCAGCTGAGAAAACTTTACAGTGCCAGTTGTGACTTTTGATCAGATTGATTCTTACTTTGTGTTTTGTGCAAAAAGTGAACGCACATTAACAGTAAAACAATAAGTGACAACAAGTGCAAACAAACAAATCAGTGAACAGAGTGTAAATAAATTGCTTTTCGTTTAAGTGCAAACAAAGTGTTTCATTAAAGAGGAAAATTTAAGTACTTTGACCTTAATGTGTTTCGGCCTCAGGGAAGTTCTCAGACTTGGTTAGTTTGTCTTTTAACTTCCTGTCCACTCTGTGTCGTGTTGTTGAAATTGACCTGTGCTGCTTGTGACCACATGAACTACATTGTAGAAAATATGTGTCCTGTTTTATAATCTAATGTCCAGCGTGAAGGGAGGAGGAGTAGGAAAAACTACAGCGGTCTAATCGGCTGTAGCTAAACCCTGAAGGAAGCAGCTCCGCTCCAACAGAAGCTGTTTTTAATTTACGCTCACAATGACCGAACACTGAGCCTCCGGAGCTGTTTAAACACGACATGTTCAATTGTTTTAACTGTGTGTAGGAACTTCCAAACACAGAGGAAACTCAAAGTGTTTCACTCAGTGCAGATTCACTTCAGACCATCAACCAAGAGCATCTTCAGGTCTCCATGTTGAAATGAGTGGATGAAGATGGACGTGTGAGTTTTCATGTTCACCACAGATCAGACATTAAAGTGACGACCTGCTGTCTCCTCAGAAATGGAAGCTCATGTCGTGTAAGATGAAGATCGAGCAGCTGAAGGAGGCGGTGGCCTGGGGCAACGAGGAGGTGAAGAGCGGTGAGTGCGTCTGCCGTCTGTAACACCTGCTGTGGTCACCTGACGGTCTGTGTCACACCCTCCTCTCTCCTCCTCCTGCAGACAGAGACCTCCACCTGCGCTCTCAGGAGGAGGGGCAGCGGCTGCAGCGACGGGCCGGACGTCACCAGGAGAAACGGGACAAGATCGAGCGTCACAACCGTCGCCTGGGGGAGCTGCTGGAGAGACGCAGCCGCGAGCTGCAGAGCAGACTGAGTCAGCTGGCTGCTCTGAGGCGGGAACACATCCTGGAGCTCACCACACACATCTTCCCCACACAGGAGGAGAAACAGGGCAGCAGGTGAGGCTCCGCACACCTGAACAACAACAGCACACCTGAACAACAACAACACACCTGAACAACAACAACACACCTGAACAACAACAACAACACACCTGAACAACAACAACACACTTGAACAACAACAACAACACACCTGAACAACAACAACACACCTGAACAACAACAACAACACACCTGAACAACAACAACAACAACACACCTGAACAACAACAACACACCCTTTAATCCAGTAACTGGATGCTCATGGTAATAGTGTGTTGTTTATGTGAGAGATTTTTGAATTTCGTGTGTTGAATGTTGGGTGTGTTGTTGTTAGTGTTTGGCAGGTGTGTTGTGTTTTCATGTGTTGTGTGTTTGGTTTGTTTGATGTGCGTGTGTTCTAGTGTAGTGTTACGGTGTGTGTTTTCGGTGTTTGTGATGTGTGGTTGTTGGTGGTTAGGTGTGTTGGTTCGTGTGTTGTTGTTGGATGTGTGGTGGTGTTGATGTGCTGTTCGAGGTTGTTGAAATGTTGTTGTTCGTGTTTGTTTTGAGGTGTGTTGGGTTGTTGTTGTTGAGGTGTGTGGTGTTGTTGTTGGTTCGTGTTGTTGTTGTTTGAAGTGTGTTGTTGTTGAGATGTGTTGTGGTGTGTTGTTGTTAAGGTGTGTTGTTGGTTGTTAGTGTGTTGAGGTGATGCTGTTTTGTTTGAGGTTGTTGTTGTTTGTTGTTGTCAGGTTGCTGTTGTGTGTTGAGGTGTGCTGTTGTTCCAGTGTGCTGTTGTTGTGTGTGTGTGTGTTGCTGTTGAGGTTGTGCTGTTGTGTTGAGGGTGTGCTGTTGTTGAGTGTGTGTTGTTGTTGTTGTTGTTCCAGGTGTGTGTTGTTAGACTATGGGTTCAGGTGTGGTTGGTTGTTGTTTCGGTGTGGTTGTTTGTTCAGGTGTGCTGTTTGATGAGTGTGTGTTGTTGTTAGTGTTGGATGTTGTTGTTGTTCAGGTGCTGTTGGTTGTTGTGGTTGTTCAGTGTGTGCTGTTGTTGTTGTTCCAGGTGTGCTGTTGGTTGAGTTGTGCTGTTGTTGTTGAGGTGTGTTGTTGTTGTTGAGGTGTGTTGTTGTTGTTCAGTGTGTTGTTGTTGTTGGTTGAGTTGGGTGCTGTGCTGTTGTTGTTGTTTGCAGGGTGTGCTGTTTTGTTGTTTGTTGAGGTGTGCTGTTGTTTGTTGTTCAGGTGTGTTTGTGTTCAGGTGTGATGTTGTTGTTTATTGAGGTGTGCTTTGTTGTTGTTCAGGTGTGCATGTTGTTGTTGTTTTGTGTACTGTCGTTGTTGAGGTGTGTGTGTTGTGTTTCAGAATTGTTGTTGGTGTGTTTGTTGTGTGTTGTGTTGTGATGGTCAGTGTGGTTGTGTTGTTGTTGTTGTTCAGGTGTGTTGTTTGTTTGTTCAGTGTGTGTTGTTGTTGTTGAGGGTGGTGTTGTTGTTCGAGTGTGTGTGTGTGTTTGAGTGTGTGGTTGTTGTTTGTGGGAGGTGTGTTGTTGTTGTTGCAGGTGTTGTTGTATGTGTGATAGGTGTGTTCGTTGTTGTTGTTGAGGTGTGGTTGTTGTTGTGTTGAGGTGTGTTTGTTGTTGTTGAGGTGTGCTGTTGTTGTTGTTGAGTGTGTGTGCTGTTGTGTTGTTCAGTGTTGTGTGAGTTTTGTTTGTGTTGTTCAGTTGTTTGTGCTGTTGTTGTTGTTTCAGTTGTGCTGTTGTTGTTGGTTCAGTTGTGCTGTTGTTGTGTTCAGTTGTCGTTTGTTGTTGGTTAGTCTGTGTTGTTGTGTTGTTAGAGGTGTGTTGTTGTTGTTGTTGTGAGGTGTGTTGTTGTTGTTGTGGTTGTCTGTGTTGTTGTTGAGTTGTGTCTGTTGTTGTTGTGTGGGTGTTGCTGTTGTTGTTCAGTTGTGCTGTTGTTGTTCAGTTGTTTGTTGTTGAGGTGTGTTGTTGTTGTTGAGGTTGTGTTGTTGTTGTTGTTGGTTGCTGTTGTTGTTGTTGAGGTGTGCTGTTGTTGTTCAGTTGTGCTGTTGTTGTTCAGGTGTGTTGTTGTTGGTGTGTTTGTTGTGGTTGAGGTGTGTGTTGTTGTGGTGTGATGTTGTTGAGTGTGTTTGATGTTGTTGTTGTTCAGTGCTGTGTGTATGTTGTTGTGTGAGGTGTGGTTGTTGTTTTGTTGAGTGTGTCGTGTTGTTGTTGAGTGTGATGTTGTTTGTTGTTCAGCGTTGTGTTGTTGTGTTGGGTGTGCTGTTGTTAGGTGTGCTGTTGTTGTTGAGGTGTTGCTTGTTGTTGTTCAGTGTGCTTGTTGTTGTTTGTTCAGGTGTGTTGTTGTTGTTTTGTTCAGGTGTGTTGTTGTTGTTGTTCAGGTGTGTTGTTGTTGTTGTTCAGGTGTTGGTTGTTGCTCGTCAGGTGTGTTGTTGTTGTTGGTTTGTTGTTGCTGTTGTTGAGTTGTGTTGTTGTTGTTGGAGGTGTGTTGTTGTTGTTGAGGTGTTGTTGTTGTCTCATGGAGTGTTTTGTTTGTTGTTGTTGTTCCAGGTGTGTGTGTGCTGTTGGTTGTTGTTAGGTGTGCTGTTGTTTGGTTGAGTGTGTGCTGTTGTTGGTTTGTTGAGTGTGTGTGTTGTTGTTGTGGAGGTGTGCTGTGGTTGTTGCGGTGGTGCTGTTGTTGTTTGAGGTTGTGGTGTTTGTTTGTTGTGAGGTGTGTTGTTGTTCAGGGTGTGTTTGGTTTGTTGTTGAGTTGTGTGTGTTGTTGTTCTGTGTTGTTCAGGTGTGTTGTTGTTGTTGAGTGTTGTAGGGGTGTGTTGTTGTTGTGTGGTGTGTGTGTGTTGTTGTTCGGTTTTGTTGTTGTTTGTTGTTGCAGGTGTGTGCTGTGTGTGTGTTGTTTGAGTTGGCTGTTGTGTGGTTGGTTGTGCTGGTTGTTGTTGAGGTGTTGTTTGTTGTTGTTCAGGTGTGCTGTTGGTTGTTGAGGTGTGTTGTTTGTTGTGTGAGGTGTGTTGTTGTTGTTGAGGTGTGTTTTGTTTGGTTGTTGAGGTGTGTTGTTGTTGTTGTTCAGGTGTGGCTGTGTTTGTGGTTGTTGCATTGTTTGTTGGAGTGTGCTGTTGTTGTTGAGGTGTGTTGTTGTTCGGTGTGTTGTTTGTTGTTAGGTTGTGTGTGTTGTTGTTTTCAGGTGTGTTGTTGTTGTTCAGGTGTGGTTGTTGTTGTTATCGTGTTGTTGTTGTTGTTTGTTCAGTAGTGTTTGGTTGTTCGTTGCCAGGGGTGTGGTTGTTGTGTTCAGGTGTGTATTGTTGTTTGTGTTACAGGTGTGTTGTTGTTGTTGTTCAGGTGTGTTTGT